CCCCCCCCCCCCCCGCCCTCTCAGGGCCGACAGGCATTCTTCAACCAACAATCCTCCCAGCAACGGCACCAAAATCGGCGGTGGGACGCCGGCTATCCTGCGGTAAAACCTCTTCCGGACTCATACGTGCGATGTATGGCTGCCCAATGGCAAAAGAGCACTTATCAATTATCTAAGAATATCTTGAGTGCGCGGAATACCATCACTTTGGCCTCATACGCTTCCAGCAGCATATCGTTTGCCCTGTCGGGTCCCTTTACACCATAGGGACGGCCTTGAGAAATGGCAAGAGAGGGAGGAGTAGGCGATGTGTCTTACTCGAGTAACTATGCGTCATTTAATCTATTGTTGCAGATTGGCGTGTAACACATTATCAATAGCTTAGAGCGCGAAATGGGTCTCCATTCTATCAAGTCGTGTTATCTAGGGTGATTATGCACGGCAGCTGATCGGGTAAGCTTCTGCGCCTATACAATATTGCGCAGTGCATCTGTTGCTACAGGGTTAGAAAGCGAATGAAGGGAGGCAGCGCAGATGGTGGGGTTGGGTCGACAACTTCCCCTGCTCGACACGATCATGGAACTCGACAACGTGTGCATTGAGCTTCCCAGCCTTGTGGAGCTTGCGAAGCGCTTTTAACGCCGTACCTGCTGCTGTCGCCTCGGACCCTTTGGACTTCAAGAAAAAACAGCGTGCCAGAGATAAAACTTCGCTCTTGAATGCGGGAGACGAGTATATCCAGCGCAAAACCAGTGGGTAAGAACAACATCATATACCCTGCGGTGTGTCTCAACTCGTACAGCGTGGTCTTTCTTACAGACCGTTAAGCGTACTCACGTGGGTCAGCCACGAACCACTCGTACCATACTGCCGAAAGCGACTGCGAGCCCTACTTCTTCGGACGCACGGTTTGCTGACTCTGCTGTGGTTCCTGCGTCGCTTCAGTCTGGCTTTCATGCGCGTACATATGCTCGCTTGGTGATCCTGATTCCAACGGTAATTGCAGTTTTACTTCTACAGATAACAGTCGCTCCTCCAAGCGCTTGTTTTGCAGGATTAGGACGTTATTTCGCTCGGACTGGCGTTTAACGAGGCTCAGCACTTCCCCAGAATGTGAGTCGACAGCACTGGACTTGCTTATCTCGGGTTGGGATGTGAAAGCACGACGGATTGTATCGCTCCACGCAAGTATCGCAGCTTTCCCGATAGACCGTGCTGACAGCAGCAGCATTTCGGAGTAGTGCAGGATGATTGTGGCTGTCAAAACCTCCTCAACATCCTCATCGATGATCATAGAAGTGTCCGCAAAGCCCAGTGTGTTCGTGAATAGCAGTGCCTTAAGATTCTCGGCACGGATTAGTACTGGATACTCCAATGCACGCAGCGACGGAAGACGAGTGCCGTTCTGCGGACGTCATCCTCTCAAGAATCGTGCCACATTTTGGCCTGCCTGGGTGCTACCTAACATGTACCCGAAGGCCTTATTGACGCGGTCAAGCTCTAGCCACCGCGCTCAATGATCCGGTTTTCGGCTAGGCTTCCATCGTTGGCGTGCATAGCAGCTCCACGACGAAAGGAGTGGGAGGTAAGTCCATGTGTAAGCTTTACCGGCTTCTGATCCGCAAACGGCTTGACTCTTACCAGCAAGCGATTCACGAATGCTTATCAGATGCCGACCTGATCACTGCTGATTGCTGAGCGTCCTCCACGTACATATGGTCTCTGGCTGCCTCAAGAAACTCTACGAGGCCGGGGTCTTCAACGTCACCCACATTTGCTGCAGCGTGCCTTGATG